TGGAGCTAGAAAGCAGATTAGTGGGTGGGGAGGGAATGGAGATTTTATAGTAACCTTCCCCTGCCATACCACCAAGCCACGCCATGCCCACCAAGCCACGCCCACAGAACCAGTAGTAAAAAAATTTGAATCCCACCACTGGATACATCTATGAAATTTTCTGGAGGACAAGAAGTGGTTCTTCTGTGATCGTTTGATTTCAGTCTTACAACACTGTGAGTTCCTGATGATGTTGCATCCGAGTAATAAGCAGGTGTGGCCCTGCTTAATCTTAATCAACTAAGGTGTTGTCACCAGATGATCTTAGTAGTATTTATTCCATTTCAGTATCTTTCACTTTAGATAGAAAATTTTCCTAATGCTGTTGTTAGCCCATGAAACCAGCAACCTTTCTTTTTTACCTTAAAATCACTTAGAGATTTACTATAAGAATCCAATCGACTCCTAAAACTTATAAGTGTAAAGTTTTAATCATAAAAAGGATGCTAGGAACAGAGAATCTACTCCTGATTTTTTTTTCTGAATTAGTAGCACTTCCCCCCCCCCCCCCCCCGCAAAAAAGGTTATTCAATCTGGGCTCAGAGAAGACTTTGAGGATTTATAAATAAAGAGAACTATGATTCATGAAAGCTTATGAAATAATATATTTTACCCTTTAAGGTAGCACAGAACTTTATTGTTCTCTAACGAGTAGTGAACTTTTCAAACCTCACATTTCTTTCTAGCTTAGGTCAACATGTGAGCTGAAGAATTTTTGATTTCTCATGTAGCAGCCAGTCCTTCCTGCCCACCCAGATTCTGTTTCCCCCGCTTTTCCAAGTTTGATAAGTGGTGGTAATGACCGATATGAAAAGGATTTGGAGAGTTCACTTCTTTGCAGTCTTTTCACAACCTAGGGTACTCCATTAAATGTTGCATAAGAAGCTCAAATGTACATAGGAAACAAAATTCTTCTAAGACTTTTTGAAATTGATGTATAATCAGAAAAAAAAAACAATGAAAGGGAAGAGGAAAAAATAGCACTTCTATGTTTTCTCTATTACCCCATTATTGTTCCCAATATTTTACATGCAAAGAAGATTTATTTGGGGCGTATGGGAGATCTATGGGAGGGCGTTGGGAATAGAGAGAATCAGCGGGAAGGAAACTAATTCTTCCTGCTTGTAGGAGTTTTTCAGAAAAAGATGTTGCATATCCTTTAATGTTAAGCAGTATATGGGATAGAAGTGTTAAGGGTATCTTTTCCCCTCACTTAGTTTCAGGTTTCTTGTTACCTAACTTCTTTTGAATTCTGTTTTCTTTAAAAAAAATGTAGAAAAAAATGAATTTGGCTGTTTGCTAGCATTGTACAATTTCTGGGTCAAGTGTAATGCATAAATTGGAGGTTGACAGAATTATTATTGTGGAAGGTTTTTTTTTCTTTTACAAAAACAAAATGCCAAAGTCTTGTCTTAAATACCTGCAATTCCTTTTTAACCAGGACACAGGTTTTCACGTGATTTTCCAGCTGTTTGGATCCAAAGGACCATTACGCTCTTCATAGAGATTTCTTTTGGTTGCCAAGCATCTCATTGTGAACTTGGAAAGCCACAATTTCCCCCTGCCATGGAATTTAGGCTACTGAGCAGCTTGCTTTAACAGCAGATGATGGAATGCTCCACAAAGAGAGACAACCTGGAAACATTTTATGCTATTTGGCAACCAGTTCAAGATTACTTGACTCAGTGAAATATGAGTTAGACTTTATCATCTAGCTGTTCCTGGCCAGTTCTTTCTTCTGCTTTTTACATCTATCTTTGCTTCCTACAGCTTATTATGTATGTGGATTCTTTTTTTTTTTTTCAAGCAATGGGCATACATATTGCTTTTTCTTTTGGTCAAATGTTGGTTTATATAGTATATTAATCAAGATCTAATGTGGCACTGTAGATAATAGATTGATCTGTGCAATTGGAGGTCCCTGGCTCAACTGTTGGAATATAGGACCATAAGAAGTTGCTTTATATGGACAAAGTTCTTACACTGCATCATAGTAGCTGTATTTGTTTGGTTTTGCTGGGTTGGGAATTCTGGGAGTTGAAATCTAGATGGGTAAAAGTTTGAGAAACATGGACATAAGTCCTGGCTCTATAGAAGAGACTCCAGGAATTCTGTTGGAAGCAAAGATAGACAGACAGAAAGACACACACACACACACACAAAATTTGAGCTGTCATCCAGCTTTAGGTTCATGTAACCTGCCACCCAAAACAACGCCTAGGGTGCTAGAGAAGGACCTGGGAGCAAACCAAGGTGAAGTTGCTGCAGTGGTAGCAGAGCAAGTGCTAGCTTAACCATGATGGTATGCTAGTGATCTCTGCCTGGGCACAGGATCACCTTTCCTTCTGATTCTGAAACTGTGGATTCAGTGACTGGCCTTGTATCTGTCCACCAACTGTTCAGTGTTCAGCTATAGCCCAGTATTCACAGAAACTGACTGAAATTGGCAAACTGCCACCACCGCTACTGTTCTTCTGGTATTTTCTCTGTCCTGCAGTGTGTGCAGGCTGTATGGCACTTTCTATTATTCTTAATTGGAGCAGGTCACTTCCTCTTTTTCCCTATATCCTTTTTTTCCCATCAGCCTGCTCTTGTCTCCTGGTGTCCCTTCACACTTTCTTTGGTGAACCAATTGAGATGACAGAGAGTGTCACCTTCTTTCATCAGCTGAGTGATTGTTACAGGTCACAAAAGGTGACATGGAGCAACACAGAGTGTCCATGAGGAAAGAGCATGAGGCCCCTGAAATAGAATAAACCGTTTTTGTGGGTCATTATGAATGCTATATTGACTCAACATGCAGAATACTTGAATGCTAAGTCCTTGAATATCATCATCAAGTCCTTGAAAACTGGGAGGCCTTATTTGTGTAGAATGTGAAGGCATGAGTCACACTGAGCCTTGTTCTCTCTTTTTCTCAGTATCCTGAAACCAGGAGGATTTCAGAATCTTTCACTCACATTCTCAGTGAATTATAGTTTATTCAGCAGTAGCTATGAGTCAAGTAGGACTTCCAGGTCACATAGCTACTTCTTCAACAAGAGTGACACCACATCAAGAGGCACACTGGAATGAATAAGAATCTTTAGGACAGGGGTGTCAAATTCGTGATGACACATTGTCATCACATGATGTATCACAACTCCCCCCCCTCTAAACTGGGGGTGGCCATGGCCAGCATGTGATACATCCAGCCTGCCATGAGTTTGATACCCCTGCTTTAGGAGGAAATGGCAACATGAAGGCTCTTCCACTCTTTTTAAACTTTGAAATTATTTATTTTTTCTTTAAATTGTTTTAGTGTAATATTTATGTATAGTTTTTAAAGCTTTTATGCATTATTTGAATACCTCCCAGAGTTGCTTTGTATGATGGACAGTTTCTAAATGTGATATAAATAAAAATAAATAAATTCTGTTGTCTTCAGATTTAATTGCAGACTGTTTTATTACACAAAGTTCTTATAGCCTCCACACACACACACACACACAACACACACACACACACACACACACACACACACAAAACCAAGAAAAGACACCCACAGCATCAGCATCAAGACCAAATGATGATATATTACTGGGTATCATCAGGTTATTGACGGTACAATTCCAAGTTGATGGATGACAACAGGTTAATATAGCTGTTAAACAAAGTGATAAAAAAGGAGAGAACTATCCCCTACAATATCTTATATAAAAAGGTGATTAATGCCCAAATGTAAACATCCTCCAAGGGGCAATATCCATCACAGATGTCCAATAAAGAGGAGCTGAAAGTCAGTGTGATCATCACAAGTTTTATTAAGGTGCTTAAATTCTTACAGGAGTAGACATGTTCCCTGTATTGGGCAACAGGTATGTTCTGTTCTTGCCATAGCCTGACTATGGCAAGGGGCTGGTTTATAAAGTTTTTGTAACCATTCACAAAATAAATTGTGTGAGAACCTAGTTTAGTAAAATGTTATCCTTGTGAACTCTTTAGTATCTCTTCACCTCACATTATTTCAGTGTGCATTTTAAGCTCTTGATTCATGATTTCAATTAATTTTTTTTAACCAAAGAGATATTAAAATCAAGATTTCTTATACACAAGCACAAGAGGTTCCATTACATGACATTCCTTCTTAATTCACAAAGTCACATTCACATGAAACTGTTCAAGCAGAAACTTCTCCAGCCTTGTTCTCCAAATATATTGAAGCCAAACCAATAGCAAAGATTGTTCAATGCAGTAGGCACCTCTTGGTAGTTGCATTATGTTACCATTTCCTATCTCCTGCACTTCCCACTTTAATGACAGTTCCCATAGCCACAAAGGCCAGATGTTGGAAGAGAGTTGTAATAATGATAAATAACATCCAGTTTTTAATGTGCTTAAAAGAGAAATTGTGTGCAGGACTAAACCATTTCCAGATGCAGCATCTTGTATAAGAGGAAGTTCTTAGGGTGGAAAAGAAGTGAAATTGGTAAGTATAGCAAGAGAAAAAGAAAAAGAATAGTTAGAAAGTATAATAGTCTGTTGTTGTTGTTTTTTAAAAAAAGAGGAGTGAGTAGAAGATGTTAAACCTACACAAACTAATGTACATTTTTGACCTAGGATTTGAGAGAAGCCTATTGTAGTACTATTATTTGATAAATACCATACAGACATGCACACAACCTCTTCCACATACACATGGGTGTAGAAACACTGTAGAACAGGGGTTTCCAACCTTGGCAACTTTAAGCCTGGAGGACTTCAACTCCCAGAATTCTCCAGCCAGCAAAGCTGGCTGGGAAATTCTGGAAGTTGAAGTCCTTCAAGCTTAAAGTTGCCAAGGTTGGAAACCCCTGCTGTAGAAAGCACAGGAACTGATAACTGATGTGCATGACCCCAAAATTTACATTCTCCAGAAAAACAACTGGAAAAACTGACCCAACTTTTCAGTGAGAAGAGGATCAATGGATGGTTAAACTTACTGAAATAAAAGCCTCTTTCTCCACAGACAAATTGAAGAGCATCAACCAACTCAGCACCACAAAGTGTTTCATGGCCAGCAGCAGCAACAGTCGAGCCAGTTAATGTGAGCAAACACAGGCCAAAGTAGAAGAAATTAAGGGATGTTGCAGTGAGCATCTTTACCTGTGAATGAAGTAAAAACAAAACTATGTCAATGCTTTTTCAGAAAATCCCCAAAATTGGACTAAACAAGATGCTTATTTAAATAGAACCAAATGGATTGCTTTATTAGCACTGAGGCCCATTTAAAAAAAAATTACATATTGGGGAAAATTCTGATCAAATAACCATGAGCCTTGTCCGTCCAGGAGCTAATGTCTATAGGCAATTTCAAATTTTTGTTTCCGATAGTTCATTTATTTTTAAACAGATTTGACTGGACAGGCCTTTATACAGATCAGAAACTTCATTCAAGTAGATCCTGGACAATATTTCAAACAGACAACTTTGTAAACTAGAATATAGGGCTACTCCCAGGTGTGAAACCCGTTTTCTGTTTCTTTCTGACTTCTGAGAATTGTTTGTTGTTTCACTTCATGCCTTTTCTCTGAGGTAGGCCCTCATCTGCTCCAAATTTGACAGGTAAAATCTGAAGCACACCCAGGAAGATACAAGTGTTTTGAGCAAAATAGACTAAGAAAATATTTCATTTTCAGATAAATCTTTTGCTTTTTGTGCATTTAAAAAAATCAGATACATATGTGCCTTAGTGTATTTTTACATTGGTGTGGCAGTTGATTTCTACCCTGCATTCTTTCTTTTTCTTAAAGAAATTCATAGGTTGTTGGCATCCAGAGCCATCTCCCATGTCTTAAATTCATGTGAACCAATACTGCGAAGGCATCTGTAGGATTTTGATAAACTCAGTTGAAGAGTTAGATTACTTAATTCTAGTTCAAGTAAAACTTCTGGGTCTTTTAAACTTCACCCAACTATTACAAGAAAAAGGTGACATTAAAAATGGATCTATTTCCCTTTTAAATGTCTGAATTATTAAAAGCAGAGGGGTTCCCCACCCAAAGATATATATTGAACCTGGCAGCTTATTGTTAAATTTTCAGAGGCTTAACTCAACAGATACAGTGTGGTTCAACTATGAAGGGAAGACCAAATAGATTGGGTGTGATCCAGCTACCAAAGCAGTTTTAAACCCCTATATGACTGATGTTTAAATTAGGATCAACAGCTGTGTTGTGTTACTGGAGCAACACAAGGCAGCTGCAGTATGCTAATCTTTGTTAGACATCTGAAACAAGTAACTACAGGGAGAAATGGGCAGAAATTACAAACACAAGCACCATCAAACTCTGGAAAGTATAAAATGCCTAGATGAATTAACCAAGAATTGGGAGTACCTCAACAATTACAGTGTAGAAATTCTCATAATTATAACAAAATATTGTAGCAAGGAACATTTCAGTTCCATGCTTAACCCAGGCAGCCATGCTTTCTTCTAGGATGTTCCATTCCATTTCCCTGTCCCTTCTACATATTGATATGAAATATTCCACGACTACTATATAACTACAATACTGCAATCCTGATTGGGTTGGGTTTATTTGTTCATCATACTGATATGCTGCCCATCTCACAATCAAGTGACCCTGATTTAGACTCAGAGGTATGGATATGTGACTTTACTTCCCCAAATATTTCCTGTACACTTGTGATAAAACTCAGAAACTGTGCTAATAATACAGGGATTTTTCTCCAAGTAATTTAGCAATAGCAATATCACTTAGACTTATATATGATAACACAGTGCTTTAGAGCCCTCTCTAAGTGGTTTACAGAGTCATCATATTGCCCCCAACAATCTGGGTCCACATTTTACTGACCTCAGAAGGCTGAGTCAACCTTGAGCCGCTCAGAATTAAACCCCTGGAAGGAGCAGTGAGTTAGACCTGCAGTGCTGCATTCTAACCACTGCGCCACCATGGCTCTTACTTTATCTCCAAGATCAGTTGCTAAATGAGCTGTATCATCATCATGATCATCATCATCATGATCATCCCTTTTTCTCAGCCTCCCAAAATTTTGCCACATTATAGAATTATTGAAAATTTCAATCTTGCTCAGTAAGTAGAAAAAAGATTTGATTGCCAAACACTTTATTGGCAATGGCTGGAAGGATTACATCAGTTACTTGTCTTAATATCTTTGAAAAGCAGCTTTTCCCTCTATGAAGCTTTTTCAAAGAGCATTCCTTTTCCTTGAGACAGACACACAGACAGAATCACAGACAGAATACACATAATATTTGTTCCTGGGGTGGGGGATGGACAATTAGAACCACAGTCAGAAACCAGTCCTTAGCAATGTCTAGCTTGGCCTTCACATTAAATGTGAAACATTTCTCTACAAAAGCCCATCTATAATGACTAGCCAACCTAGCAGAGAACCTAGCCAACTAACCAACAGATGAGAATAGTAGGCAAGATCTCCATTTATGGAAACATCCAATATAAATATAGAAAGATATTTAAAAGACTTAATGAAAATGAAATAGCTATTTAACATTTACAAAACATGACAGTCCAGAGTATTAGAAAGGCAAATATGAATGTGACTTCAGAAGCAGAAACAAGGTTCACTATATTCAGTCATAGAAACTAAGAATACTCTCAGTTTTCATAATGTCATTTTCCTCTATTCAATTACACCTCAAAAGTGTTTAAGGCAGAGGTAAGTCACCTGCTTTCACGGGCTTGCTTTCCAGGGTGCAATTCAAAAAGTTATCCCAGCATTGTCTCAATGAAATGGCATTGCGTACCTACTGAAGAACACTGTGTATTCAACACAGTGTTCTTTGATCCCAGTTGGCTTTGCCTCAAACATAAACTTCATTTAACAATGTTATTTTTTCTGAGACTGCAGCAGACTTTGCACACTGTAAAAAAGAAATATCAGATCTAGGACAAGAGAATGGGACACCATTCCCACTCCTTTATGTGAGCCAAGAATGTGACACCACACACTTGCCTAGAATCTCCTAGAAAGCAAAATCATAATCTCTTCACATAGTTTGGAAAGAGGAAAAAATGGTCAAATGGACCAAAAATCCTATCTCATCAATCATATAATAATAGTGTTTTTGAAGATTTATCTGTCAGAAAATTCTCCGATGTACCTTAATATTTCTGCTCCATTCATATGGAAAGACTGGAGTCATTAAAGGAATACTTACGATAATTAACAATTTGGCTGGTGGTCTTTTCAATAGATCAGAGTGTCCCCAATTTATTGTCTGTCCCATTTGAACTGAAGGCAGAGGCCTTTAAAAGCAAGTCCTGGAAAGTGGGTGGGGTTTATCAGAGTGTCTGATTAAGTTTGGACTCTGAGTCCAACTCTGTACTGTGCAGGACTGGCTAAACAATGTGGTAATGAATGACCAATTATGTTTCATAGCTGCAATTTCAACAGATCTTCTCCTTCCGAGAAGATCCAGTATCTTCTGCATCTGGAGTGCAGCAGTCCAAAACAGTGGCTCTTAAAGTAGCCAGCAGATGGATTGTTCCTTGGCTTTAACACCTTCTTTTGCCCTCCCCCAGCTCCTCCCATTCGGCAAGCTTCAAATCAAGCAGCGCGTACAAAAACGCTTGAGCGAAATTTGGGCGCATGCCGGTTTGGTGACTATCTAAAATAACAACGCTCAGGGTTTACTTGAAAGCGCTTTTCAGAGACATGGCAGCTGGTATACTGTAGACAGAAGTATCAGTCTGTGCTAAGGAAATACATATGTAAGCTGTCAGACATCATCATTAGGTGAATAAGGCAATATATGCAACCAACATGATACCAAGGAAGCATTGAATAAGAAATCATACATACTGTAAGCACACTGACCACCAGGACGAAGTGAATAGTTCTGTTCTATTTGGGACTCATTATAGCTAGGTAGCCAGATGTAATTCTATGGGGTTCAAATCCTCACCATGAACTCATGGACCTTTGCACTTCAAAAGATTATATGCAGTACATGAACTTTAGGAGCTATCCAGGTCCTGGCACTCAGGTAGAGAAAGTGATATATATAGTATATATTAGAATCACCTTTCCTTAAAATCTCAGAACAGAGAGATACAAATGTTATGTCTTGTCATGCTTTTGTGTACCAGGTATTCCTTTTCTACCTATTGGCATTCACAAACAATACTGATGAACTAATTCCTTCTAGAACCTATGATAGAAGTCTAGCAGGATCAGTGCAGCTAGCATTATCCAGAAAGAAGTTGAGAAAAGTTCTCATTGCACCAATCTCAAGAATATCCTCATCTCAAGGGCAGCCTTAGGCATTCAAGAAAAATAATATTTGGAATCAAGGTTGCAAGGTTATGAACACTTACATGGTAATAATTCACATTTAACTTGTTGGATTTTTTTCTTGACATTCATGCATAGGATTCAGCTACAAATCCCTCTAAGCTTAATAGGATTTGGTTTTCAGCTAACATGTTTAGTAGTTTAGTACTGCCTTCTTCTATAAATTCAATTTTGTTACACTCTGCTAATTAATTATGATTTGGTATCTATATTATGTTGGAAAGCTTATAATAAAAAAATACTTTCCTCTTTCCAATAAACTGAACATTGGATGCTGTCCATAGTTCTGCAGTTATAACCATGATCCTCCAATAGGTATTGATTTCAGCAATATTTCCATAACACTGTTTATTCTTACTCTAAACATGTTATAAAATTATTTCTTTCAAGTAAAGTAAAATGGATAAATAATACTCAGGCAAGGTAGTTTTTTAAAAAAAGTAAAAACAAAACTAAATTGGCACCTACAGCTTTTGAGACTGTCAGCTGCACGCAACTCTGCCTACAAAATGGAAAAACAAAACTTTATTCTTGAAGGATATAATTTTGCTGAGAATGGAAACTTGAGGCCAGCTGACAAAAACAGAGGTCAGTAGATCTACTGAAGTCAAATCTATCTGAAAAGTGTTATGTTTCCAAGAAGCAGTGAATACAGGATACTATTTAAAAACTCCTATCAAACTTTGTTTAACAAAAGCTGCTTTGTGAAAGTAAAATAAAACTGCATATAAAATAGTTTGTTCACTTTTCTTACTGGATAATTGCTTAAATTTAGCATGAATCTGCAAGAGCAGAAAGCTGTGCATGGTTCTTCTTTCAGAAAAGGAAAAACAAACTTCACTTTCATAGGAAACCATAAAAAAAGTCTAAATGTAGATGGATGCCAATAAGCAGCTGCTATAAAGACTATATACTGTAATCTCTCGGTTACTTCTGTACTTCTGGGTATATAATAATCCTAGAGAACTGAATCAGCTATTTGATGTCTAATGGGTATTACAATGTCAACATTTGCACCTGCAGTGCAATTCAAAACTGCTTGTATCCAACTCAGCAGTTATTAACCACAGCAAATGATGTAAGTGGGAATTTTAAATATGACAGAGCAAGAATTTTTGCAGAAAGTTTTTCTAATCCAAGTTGAATTCATAAGTACCTTCACCGTTTCTAAGCTATGCTCAGAGCAGTCATTCCATGCAGTCATTTCTCAACTGTGCTAAAATTGTTCAGCAGTTTAGAAATAAAATCCCAGTGCAGAAATAATGCCACTGAAAGTGTCTATAGCAATCTTCAAGCCAAAATCTGATTACACATACAGCAAAATTATAAATTTTATATATATATATATTTATATATATATAAATAATATTTATATTTATATATATATAAATAATTTCAAACAGAAAACAAATAGGAAGAAAGATTTACCTTCAAGAAATCACAAAAGCAGCACTTAAATAATAGTGTTGAAAGACTGTTGGTTTCCCCCATTGCTTCTTAAGTGCAAACTCTGGAAATGAATTGGTTAGCAGAGGAATAATGAGGGGGGGAATAAAAAGAAAAAAAGAAATCCAGGAGATGTTCACATATCAATATTGAGGAGTTTTATTCCATTGCGCAGGCTTGATCTGCTCTGATTTGAGAGTGAGATTTAGCAAACAGAAGAAGATTTAGAGAAAATCCTCACATTTATCTACATTACAGACACTGTAGACAGGAAACAGCTGGAAGAACATTTGCTTTCTCTCTCTCTCTTCTCTCCTTTCTCTCTCCTCTCTCTCTCTCTCTCTCCCTCTCTCTCTCTCCCTCTTCTGGCAAAGTTACTGAGTAAGGATTTTTGGGCACAATGACAAATAACATCATACCTTTGCATTTTGAAACTGGAGCACTGAAGTGTCGTTGGGTTTTTTTTCCACCCAATCCCCCTCCTTCTTTAAAAGAATGCTTCTGAATGGAAGACAAGAAAATATAGTTGAAGAACTCTTAGAAGCTGGAGCTGCAATAAAAAATGAAACATGCAAATGGACATGTTTCAGCTGGCTGCAACAGGGATTAATTCAGACACCTTTGGGCTGTATTGTCCAAGAAGCTGCTGGAATTCTGCATTTGTTAGCCATTGTTGGAACCAGTTCTACCTAATATCAAATGCTAAAATTCCCTTTTGCCATCTGATTCCTACCAGAATGGCTGATCCATATACAGGGCACATCCTCATGCCTTTTACAAAACCCACTGGAATAAATGCATCTTGACAGAAGTGAAACTTTTTGTTTTTTTCCTTCTACCCCAGGGGTGTCAAACTTTCATCGTTACGGTGGTGACACATGACCTATCATGACTTTTTCCCCCTTCGCTAAACTGGGCATGGGTGTGACCATTGCGTGATGCATCTGGCTCATGGGCCATGAGTGTGACAGCCCTGTTCTACCCCATCTATTCATTGATATTCCACAACATTTTGCTTTTCGTTTCGTTTTGTTAAAGCAAGCTTGATGGGTGTGAGTGGGCAAAGAAAGCAATGAATTGAGTGATTATGTAAGATGGGTGCAGTCAAGGTGATTTGATTTTGTTCAAGATCTAATCAGAGTTGGTCACCAGAACTAGAGGTTTAGTCTTCTGAGCTTTTGGACTCATACTGGAACCCATCTTCGGGGAATTTCTCTCTCATCCTCAAGGAAGTCCCCTGAGGATAGGCTCCAGCCAGAGGTGGGATTCAGCAGGTTTTGACCAGTTCTGGAGAACCGGTAGCTGAAATTTTGAGCAGTTTGGAGAACTAGCAAATGCCATCTCTGATTGGCCCCGCCCCTATCTATTCTCTGCCTCCCAAGTCCCAGATGATCAGCTGGGTCTTCTTTTGTTGCCCTGCACAGGAGAATGGAGCTGGAAAACAGGTTAGTGGGGTGGGGAGGGAATGGGATTTTGCAGTAACCTTCCCCCAGGAGTGGGGAGGGAAAGGGGATTTTACAGTATTCTTCCCCTGGAGTGGGGTGGGAGCCACACCATGCCCACCAAGCCATGCCCACAGCCATACCATGCCCACCAAACCACCCCCACAGAACCAGTAATAACAATGTTTGAATCCCACCACTGGCTCCAGCATGAATCCAAAAGCATGGAAGACTAAACCTTTGGTCACAGTGACCAACCCAGATTGGATCTTGCAACATTATCCCTGAACATTTATATTTACCTTCATTTTTGATATTTTTTTTCCGGATAAAGAATTTTTGCTTGTTTTTCAGGGGTGTTATTTCTCACAATGGTATACATGTTATACTCTAACATTTATGTTTTAGTATGTATTTCACTCAAAATGGATAATGTGCCACAGAATTTGGTAGTTGAGGATGGAAGACGCTGCACAATTCTGTATTAAATTATTGGGAGAGGTCTTCAGAAAGGGATTGTGGTTTGAAAATACCAAGTTATTCCATAACAATAACTCCAAGTCTATAAAGTTCTTTCTAAGACAGAAACCAGGGGATGGGTAGATGATCCTACTCCCAATCACAAGAAGGTAATAGCTAGTTAGATGGATAGTTTGACTTTGTATAAGATAAATGACATCTCAGTCAGTGAACCTTCTCAAATTTCTATCAGTAGCAGAGAAAAATCGGGCAGTGGAGCTGTTCATGGTAGGGCAACACATTTTATCATCTGCCTGTATCTATACAGTAGATCAAGCTGCCCCTCAAATATCTTGGAAAAGGAATCTAAAATGATAAGCATCCTTGGAGCTGGATGATCAAAATTGCTGATATGTCAGCTCATAAGTTATTGGAGTTATTGGATAAGTTAATGTATCTTTTACATTTTTATTTTCTTCTCAGTTTTTTTCTGATTTATAAATAGAACACAGTGGCTAGAACTATGAGAATGTTATTGATCAGTTAAATCAAGTTGAAAATATAAAAATCCAAAGTACTTTAATGTTTCTCTGTTTATATTATGTACACTTTAGGATAAAGATCATTATCATGTGCAAGAATCAAAGCATGCATTCTTGCAATACACGTGTCCTATTTTTTCTTTTCAGGTTGTTGGGAATTTCTTACACATTTTCTTACACTCTTCAGTTCTTCTTGGATGAGAAGCGAAACATCTTCAAGGAAAAAACAAAGTCCAGTTGCCTTTTGAAAAAGCCCTTTGGGATTCCCATGTTGATATTGCCTACTGCTAAAAGACACATAGGTCCAAGAGAGGACCTCTCGTCTATCCTGCTAAGAAGTCTTAGAATGTGAGACAATTTAGGTAAGTGGAATGATTTTTTTAAAAGGACTCTAAATTATTTTTAATATGTGGTTTATTCTGCTCTACCATTAGTATAACTTTTTCTGTATTTCAGTTGAAGTCTTATTTAGATTAGGAGCTGTGGTGGCGCAGTGGTTAGAGTGCAGTACTGCAGTCTACTTCTGCTGACTGCCAGACGCCTGCAATTTGGCAGTTCAAATCTTACCAGGGTCAAGGTTGACTCAGCCTTCCATCCTTCTGAGGTGGGTAAAATGAGGACCCAGGTTGTTGGGGGCAATAGGCTGACTCTGTAAACAGCTTAGAGAGGGCTGTTAAGCACTGTGAAGCAGAATATCAGTTTAAGTTCCATTACTATTGCCATTATTTAGGTCAAAACAGTAAATAGTCCCTCTTCTAAGAGTTTTTTAATTTATATTTTTGAACATATATATTTCTATATTTCCCTATATTTATTTCATACACACCCATACACCACACACCCACAACACACACACACAGAGAATATATCCCTCTGTGAAACCTTAGACTTCTACAGAATATGGAGTTTCATATCAGATCAGTTTTCTACAAGCTCATGTTCTTCAGATACATTGGTTTTCATTTCCTATCATTCTCTCTCTACCTTTTTTATATTTATGTAGGAGAAGAAAAAGTTAAAATGGGTGATATTACCCATGTCCAATAAATATAAAAATAACACAAAGCCATGGTTTTGCACTCATGGTTAGCTGACTAAAGCATAATATCCTTTGCAGGTAACAATTAGCCATAACGAATGGGTTCATGCAACATAGTGAACCAAAAAGAGATTATATTATTGTTCAGCATTCACTTCCTTGAACAGCAACCTGCTGTTTAGATTATTTAATTAGTAAAGTACAGTTCGTTTAGTGAATGTATGAAGTTACAAGGTCACTGAAAAAAGGGGAGTTTTCACCATTTTTCAGTTATGACCTCATAGTCACATGATTTACATTCAAATACTTGACAGGTGGGGGTTTTGCAACCTTCTGACAAGCAAATTCAATGGGGAAATCAGACTCATTTACCAACCTAATTTAACAACTGCAGTGATTCACTTAATAAACATGGCAAGTAAAGTCATAAAATGGGGCAAAACTCAAGCAACAAATTTCTCACTTACCAACATAAATTTTGGGCTCAGTTATGGTCGTATGACGAGGACTATTTATAAGAAGTAATATTGTTTTAATTCCTGCTATGGAAAGCTTCCAGTTGTCACATCATTGTTCTCTCACTCAGCTGAAACACTGATGATTGCACAATCTTTTATATTAGGGGTAGAATACACACGTGGTATGCAGAAAACTCCAAGTCTCTGCATTTCTGTTTTAAAGATTCAGGCAGAAGGTGATAGATGTCCAACTTTGAAAGGCTCTTGCCTAAATTTCTTTTTGATGCCTCTTGAGATCTGCTGTCTATGACAGCCACATAATTTGCAAATGTTGTCATAAAATTTAAATCGTTAGTGTGACAAAAAGGGGAAATGGTTAAACGCTGAGACATATATTTTACTTTTTCATGAAATGCATAGTATACATAATAAATCTATGTGCTGTGCTCCAGCCAATGGGGAAAAAACCCCACTATTTCTTAAGTGAGGAACAGTTTGATTCAACAACAATTCAAGTCAAAAGTTAAGTAGTTGTGTAAAAAGCTCTACTGCCTTCAAGATGAACACTGTTTTGCTAGTCATAGATGCTTATACCGGATTCACTTTTAAAAAGTGATTCATGAGAAGTGTTTGGCCCTTCTGCAAGCATTGCATCCATCTGCTGTCATTGAATCTAAAGCAGTGGTTGCCAACCGGTGGGCTACAGCCCACTGGTGGGCCATGAGAAAATGTTGGTGGGCCGCAGAGAAATCTCACCCCCAGAACACCCCCCCCCCCAAAGCAATTAATCCAGGCTGCACAGAAACACAAGGCTCCATTGCCCACATGGCCTGCAGGAATCCTTCCCACCCACTCACTCCTTACCCAGCAAACTTGCCTGCTAAATTGCTAATTTTCCGACCATCACTTCCAGCTGGTCTTCAGGTCTCTGCCACACATACGTACATGTGCGCACATTCCCACGTATGTGTGGCAGAGACCTGAAGACCAGCTGGCCAGTGGGAGGCACACATACATATGCGGTGGAGGTGAGCTGGGTCAATGACTCGTGTGCCCACAGGAAGGGCTCTGTGTGCCATCTATGGCACACATGCCATAGGTTCACCATCACATCTAAAGGGTTTCCTGTTTGGCAGGGGGTCCCTTCCAAGGTACCTTCCAACTTTGTTATTCTATTCTATTCTTTTTTGGGGGGGGTCTTACTTCTGGGTCTGTGTGGTTAGATTCAGAGGTGGCATTCAGCAGGTTCTGACCAGTTCTAGAGAACTGGTAGTGGAAATTTTGAGTAGTTCATAGAACTGGTAAATACTACTTCTGACTGGCCCCACCCCCATCTATTCTCTGCCTCCCGAGTCCCAGCTGGGTCTTCTTTTGTTGTCCTGCACTGGAGAACGGAGCTGGAAAGGTGGTTAGTGGGGTGGGGAAGGCATAGGGATTTTGCAGTAATCTTCCCCTGCCACACCCACCAAGCCACACCCACCAAGCCACACCCACCAAGTCACACCACGCCCACAGAACCGATAGTAAAAAAAATTGAATCCCACCACTGGTTAGATTGCTGGATGCTTTGTCTTTGACTGCTGCTGTATATGAAGTTGACCCAGGGGCTGCAGATGTATTGGGCCTTCTAGTTTTTGAAGTGATTGAATGATATTGGCAGAAAACAGCAAGTGAATATTGTGGAAATAATTATGAGCCCTTGTTCAAAAAGATGTTAAGAATGGCAAAGCATGTATACATCTCTGTTCTTATTGATTCTTCAAATCATTGTCCAACTATAATGTTCAAAATAACTTGTTTCTGTTTAGGGAGGATCAAGCTGGAAGAGATTCCTGCAGGAGGTGATACCAGCCAAGA